CCCCGGGGGATAGCTTGGGGCTCCGTCTAAAAAAAAAAAAAAAAAATTGCCATCTTAATCACGTTTAAGTGCACACTTCAGTGGCATCAAGCACACTCACATAGCTGTGCAACCATCATCACCCTGCATCTCCAGAAATTTTTTATCTTCCCAAACTGAAACTCTGTCCCCATGAAATGCTAAATCCCTACCCTCTCCCCAGCCCCTGCAGCCACCCTTCCACTTTTTGTCTCTGTGACTCTGACGACTGTAGGGATCTCCTGTGAGTGGAATCACACACTGTGTGTCCTTCTGCATCTGCTTCTCTCCCTAAGCATGATGTCCTCAAGGTCCATCCACGCTGTAACCTGTGTCAGAGCCTCCTTCCTTTTTCAGGGTGAGTGATAGTCCCGTGTGTGGATAGACCCTGTAGTGTTTGTCCATTCATCTCTCCACGCACACCTGGGTTGCTTCCACCTTTTGGCTGTTCTGAGTTCTGCTGCTGTGAACGTGGGTGTGCGAGTATCTCTTTCCAGATACATTTTATTTTCAACACCTGGGCAGCTATAATCTGGGAACTCGGTTTTCCACCAGGCGCCCTCCCTACCTTTGTGAGGATAGTGCGTCCCCTGCTCATATGCTCACCAGATCCCTGATTCGCTACCCGAAACATCTTCTCAGCCCCAGCAGCTAAACTCGGAGATTGCCAGGGATCAACGTGACTTATTTCAGGCCAGGGACGCAGAGCATTTTCACAGCTATCTTGCCATGTTATCCATGACCTTGCAGATGCGGTTGACAGATCTGCCTTGCGTTTCTGTCTTCCCCAAGCTGCCTGCCAGATTTGGTTCCAGCCCTGCCCACGGGCCTGCATCACTTCCCACACTCACCGGTGTCTCCTAGCAACCCGGCTCACCGCCAGCACCTGCATCCAGGTCCCCACTCTGGTTCTCTGGAGGTGCTTTTCTGCCTCCCCCACTGCCCCTGCAGTCTGCCTTCTTGGGTCCAGAGTCTTCCTGCCACCTGCTGACCTGCTCTGAGGTCCCCTGTCTGGTGGGATGAGGACTGGGGAGGAAGAGCCAGAACTGATTGCTGTTTAGTCCCTTGCCGGGCTGTGTCACCCAAACGGTTCTTCCATCTGGACCATATCTTCTGCTAAACCAACTGCTTGGTTTTTGCTGTTGTGCTGCCTAAACTTTGGTTTTGGTAGTTGCTAGGAGGGCTGACTTAACTCTTTGTCAACAGGGCTGACTTTTACCTGGCCGGTGGCAGAGGTGCCATCTGCCTCTCCCTTTCCTGGGAGCCAGGGATGGGGACGATGATGAGCCATGGGTTGGGGGGCTTCTGAGAAGAGCTGCCCCCAGGACAGAAGAGAGGAAGCTGGTCTGTGCCAGAGACATTCTCCTGTAACCACATAGACACAAATGGAGTTCTTTCAGTCGCCAGGGAGAGACTTGAAACTTGTCTTTGGGTGTCAGAATGTGGCTTTAAGTCATAAACCAAGGGGAAAGGGATCAGGGACATGCAAAAACAAACCATCCCTGACACCCCATTAGTATGTGACTGTTTAGCATTGAGTGGAGGATTCTTTAGCTGCAAGTGTCCACCTGGCCTGCTCCAGATACAGGATGCAATGGTGCCAGGAAGGTGTACTTCCCACCCGTCGGCAGAGAATTCACGTTCTCAAGGGGAAGACAGAGGACACATCATTTCGATCAGGGACATATGGTTTAAAGGAAATGAACAGGGCCACCAGGTAGGATGAGGAGGTCAAGGAGGCCTCTCTGAGGGTAGATGGCACCTCCACCACCAGGCCCCACAGAGAGGGAGCCACCCATGCAGGTCAAGGGAAGATCTTCCCAGGCAGCCAGAACAGCACATGTGAAGGCCCCAGGGCATGAGTAAGTTTGGCTTGCCAGAGGATCAGCAGAGCATGGTGACAGATGGGTTTCTGGGGGGCTTTGCTAGGATTCAGGGTTTTATCCAAGTGCACTGGGGACCTCTTGAGCATTTAGTAAACAGAGCAGAGGATGGAAAGTATAAAAGTGGAGATGATAGGATTTCCTCATGGATTGGCTGTGAGTGCAGAGGGATCCAGGAGGACTCCCTGGAGGTGGTAGCAGTCAACCTGGGCAACTGAGTGAATGGCTGTGCCACTGCCAAGATATGGGAGGAGGAGAGGGTGTGTGGAGCCTGAAGGTTTAGGCAAAGCTCCCTCAGGAAGGAGCCCAATGGTAGAGAAGTCACCTGCCCCCTGGGGAGGTCTGAGTGGCTGGGAGTCAGACAGTGGATCCTGTTTCTAACAGACACTGCACTGCCAAAGAAGCCCCCTCCCTTGCCACCGGGCTTTCCTCTTTGGCCTGTGCCTGAGAAGGGGGTCCTAACAAGTGTAATCAGTGCTCTAGGACTACAACACGTGCCACATCCCCCTCCTGCTAGGCTGTCCCTACCACCTTTCTGCTCTGCTACCCACCTGTTCCTCATGGGCTGGGAGCCCCATCACAAACTTGCTCACGGTGACTTGTGTTTTCATCTGAAGCCCTTCTGCTCACTCTCTAAGGCTTGTGCGGAGGGCTTGTGGTTGTAGCAGTGGGAGCTCGCTATGGGAAGAGCCATCTCTCCCAAACTCAGCTTAGCTGTCCCTCATCTGGGAAGCCCTCAGGAGCCTCTTGCCCACCTCGCTGAGTCTCCTGGGCCACAGAAACTCCTCCAAGCCAAGGCAGAGTGCTGGGCCATGGGGTACATTGACCGGTTTCTTTGTACACACTAGGATCGCGGCACTGGATGCAGGGATGGCTGAGGGAACCCCTGCCTGAGGGAGCAGCTCTAGCCCCGCTGACCCGTCTTTGCCCACACTTGGGCTACAGAGCCTGTGGGAGAGGGGGACGGGCTCAAAGTTCAGTGTCATTTGCATTCTGTGGGAAGGACTGCACAGTCCACACCAGAAGACAAGCACATCTCCTTTATTCCTCTCCCCAATTTCCAGGTCACTCTACAAAGACACCTGGAATCTAAGCAACACACAGGTTATCTTTCAACACAGAAAAACAGAACCAAGTTAATCAAACGGCCACAGACCATATCTGTTGAAAGGTGGCCTTTCTCACTCAAGACCAGTGGGCAGCCAGCTAAGGAAACTCCTGGCAAGGGGAGAGGTTTGAATGGGCCAAGGTAGGGGCCAGGCAGGGGGTGCTCCCACATCTCCCAGTTCCAGGAGGCCCCCTGTCCCACACCAGTGTCCACAGGACGACTTCCCTCCCTGTTCCCAGGAGGGGGTCACAGGCTGAGACCTGTGTCAGGGAGGGAAGGAGGCAAGGAGGGTGAAAGGTGGTCACGTCACAGAGTAGCTCTTCTCTGTGGAAGGCACTCAGTGGACTGGGGGGTCGAGTGGCCATGGGGGTGTCTCTAGGGTCAGGTTTAGACCACTGGGGACACAGATATTTCTCCTGGGGGGCCCCAGCCTTCATCTTCACCACCTGTTGACAATGTCATTTGACACTCCACACAGGGGATGATCCAAGCTCAGACCTGCCAGGCTCCAGGCTGCAGCACTGGTCTATTTGAAGCAGGCTGGGTTTGGGGGATCCTAGCCCCAGGCACTCCTTCAGGCTCATCCCACACAGGGTGAGTGTGGTGACCAACACAGGCCTGCTGGTCACACACAGTCCCCAGCACCCTACTCTCTCTGGTCTACCCTCTATGGCCTCTTTTGGAACTTGAGGGCCAGTCTTTCTGACATTGGGTCCCATCCAAAGGAAGTGATTAAAAAACCCACATCCTCTGTATGCCACAGGGGGGGTGTAAACATAGCAGGAAATACTGGGGTTCAGATACTGGTACATGTGGCACCCAACTACCTGCTCACATGGGCGTGGGTGGACAGGGCCCCAGAGAGAAGGGTGCTGCTCCTAGTGCTGGGTGGTGTGACTTCTCTAACAATGTAAGCACAGTGCTTTTTAAAAAGAAACCTACAGAACATTACTCAGAAGGGAAATACCATTGTCCAATGTTGGTGACAGCAGCTGGCTGGTATGCCCATTTGGGGGGTGGCTTACAGAAACCCCTCTCCATTCCGCTGGCACTGCTTCTTCTCACCTGCACCTTCCTTGCCTTTCTCGGCCTTCCTTGGCTCCAGGTGCCTCTTCTGGGAGCCAGCCCCAGGCTGGCACCTGGACTGGGGAAATAGGTCCATGCCCAGGAATTTGTGGATCTGCCGGAAGGCCAGCAGGCGCAGGGCATACTGTGGACACACACAGTTCATCATGACCCCTGCCTGGCCTTGCTCCCTGAGTGCTGGGGACATAGGGGAGCTGGCATCTGTGGCCACCAGGAGATAGCCAGGCCTATCCTATACCCTTGAAGATGACTCTTCTTGTGACTGCTGAGTTCAGGTCACTGCAGGGCACAGGGAATCATCCTGGGAGTGACTCAGTGCCAGCTGATGGCAGCAATCTGCCTAGGAAGCTCCTGGGACACCAGCTCTTTACCACTTTTGGGGGCCCCAAATCTTGCACTACTGGCAATTACATTCATCCTGTTAAAGGCAGTTCATAAACTTGGACCCAGTATAATTTGGTTTGTGCACTGCTGGAACATTTATAAACAAATTTGCACACAAAGAAATGTGTGGGCTGGCCAGCAGAGTTGGGGGCCACAGCTGGGATTTTATGTACCATGGTGGGGGTGGGGTGCTCAGGACAGTCCTTGCTACCCCTCCTGCCCCCCAGATATCTCTCCCAGGCAGGTAGGAAGGAAGAGGAACCCTGGGCCATTTCAGGCACAGCCATAGATAAGACCTGAGTGTGACCCTTGCCACAGAGCCTCCTACCTGGGCACTGGCTGTCACATCTTCTCGTTCCTGAAGGGTCATGGGCTCGAGGGCATCCTTCTGGCCTTTCTCGCAGGGATCCTGGAGCCCGGGCCCATCTTTGTGAAGAGCACAGGACAGTGAAGAAAGAGAGAGAATCCTCGTGAAAGATGGCATGGCCATTGCAGGCTAGTCAGAGCCTGCACCTGCAGCACCCAGACCTGTGGTTCATGGGGTGGGCTGCCCTCTTGCAGGGGTGAGCAGGAGTCTTGCCTGGCCCCCCACAACACCAGGCAACCAGGGCCTCCCAGCCTTTGTATGTAAGTGCATGTGTGCCTACGTGTGTGCCTGCCCGTGTACGTGTGCACATGCATCCACAAAGTCATGCAAAAGGCCCAGATAAGGAGCCTGATGCTTTATCCTCCTTTATTCTCTTACCGTCATCCTGTGTCACTAAAAATCACTGGCAAACACTACTTTCCAGATCTGACTACCACCTTCTCGTGTGAGTGTGTCTCATGCGACACACTTCCCTTTGCTATTGTAGAACACATTGCATTGAACATCTTTGCACACACAGAGATTTCTGGTTATTTCCACTGAATGTCCCAGGGAGGCGTTCACCTGGGCAGCTCTGGGCCACCCCAACTGAGGGCAGCCTCTCCTGCTGTCCAGGAGGTTATGGGGGTTTGTTATCTGCTCTCCTTCAGGGAGCACGTTGTGTATCATAGGCCACTCTCCTGCTGGAGACGGAAGTGTTTGGTGACAACAGCTCTCTGTACCATGGCCACAACCATTAGTCTCTGCAATTTACTGCCCACATTCTGGGCTCTCTCGCCAGGGCCTAGCAACTGACCTGTCAGGAGCATCCCTGTGGCCACACACTCCAGCACCCGCCTCACAGCATCCCCCGGGCTTAGGGGCTCAGTTGCACTGCTCAGGGCCTTCTCCACCAGCAGTTCCATGGCCTGGTTGGGAGGGGTAACAGGGTGGACACTGTGCTTTAGGGGAGCAGTGGCAGCCCCCACTCAAGGAGTTTTCACAGGATTTTGCCTAGGGAGGTTTGGGGTCTGGGCAGGGACCTGGGGGTCTCTCTGGGGGCTGTGGAAGCTATTCTGTGAGCCTTGATGGATCCCACCCCCTTTTCCTTCCTCTTCCTATTGGGATAGGCTCAGAGGCCTATGGACAGGGAGAGAAGGTGCTGAAGCCATAAGAAGTCAGGGCCTTAAAGTGGCACCTGTGGCTCAGCGAGTAGGGCACTGGCCCCATATACTGAGGATGGTGGGTTCAAACCCGGCCCCAGCCAAACTGCAACAGAAAATAGCCGGGCGTTGTGGCAGGTGCCTGTAGTCTCAGCTACTTGGGAGGCTGAGGTAAGAGAATGGCCTAAGCCCAGGAGTTGGAGGTTGCCGTGAGCTGTGTGATGCCACAGCACTCTACCGAGGGCAACAAAATGAGACTCTGTCTCTAAAAAAAAAAAAAAAAAAATGAAGTCAGGGCCTGGTTGCCCAGAGGCCATTATGGAGCTGAAATGATAGTACCCTGGCTCCCTCTCCTCTACCCCGACCTCTCTGCCCTGGTGCCACCAGGTCTGGGTGAATACCACTCATTTTCATGGCTTGCTCATGTTTGCATGCTGTGCTGCTCTCATTGTCAAGGTTTTGGTTTTCAGATGACTATAGGCAAAGGCTGTGGGGAGGACCTTCTCCTAACCCCAGGGGATGCTGTGACCCCCCACTCCCCCACATCTCTCGGGTGCTAATGCTCCTGTAAGTCCCTTTGGGGAAGGCCTCACCCTAGGAAGAGGAATATATGTCAAGGCCTCAGGGCCCTTGGGAGTCCTTACCCAGGCTGGCAGGGCCCCCCAGGTGGGCACACGCTGGCAGAGGTCCCGCAGGATCCTGAGGACAAGAACGCATTGCTGCAGGATGCTGGCACGAGCCTTTGAGGAAGAAGCACATGGGTAGCTCTGAGGGACTTCTTGGTCACACAGTGGGGCAGGGGCCTATTCTGGGCATGAGGCCTGGGAAGGAAAACAGGGAGCCCAGCAGCCAGGCTTAAATGTGGCAGGAGGAAGCTGAGTCTGCTCAGCTTCCAGACGGGCACAAGCCCACTGATCAGTGCTGGCCAGCAGATGACCATTGGACAGCAGCATCCCCACCTCGACAGCCAGAAGCCAGACTTTGTCAGGTTAGCACTTAGCAAGGACAGGCCAAGCAATGGGTCAGGAGGCTGTTTCCAGGGTTCCTGTCTACCTGTAGAGCATTGGCTATTGTCTCCAAGCTTGTCATGCTGTGTCAACCCTAACTCCCCTCCCCCCCACCTGGAACCACTTGGCATGGCGCAGGGCAGCCAGGGACTCAAGGCACTTGTCAGGGCTCAGGACATCTCCTGGGTCAGGCTGAAGCTCCTTTAGTTCTAGAAGAAAAATAGCACACGTCCTAGAAGCTGTGTGGGCAAAGTACCCCATCCCCCTGTCTCCCCACGCCCCTGTCCCCCTGGCCCCCATCCTACTCTGCCCCCACCTCAGCAGGTGGCTCAGGTCGTGGCCCTCTCCAATCTTTAAGCCTCATTTTGTTTATTTGGGAAACATGGTTCCTCCCACTTGTCCTCCTGGGACACAGACCAGAGAAACCTCGTTCCCTCCCATATTCGGTGCACAGTCTGGAAGGGTTGATCTTTCTCCCGACTGAGTTACTGAGTGGTACTGGCATTGATTGTCTTGGGAATCCAATTAAGGTGAAGTTTGGGGAAAGATAAAACCAGTCACATTTCCAGAAACTTCCAAAGGCATCATGAAAAGGGAGACAGTGGGTCAGATTTCAACATGCCCAGTCATTGACGACCCAGGCCCCAGGGTTTGGGAAGAAAGAGATCTGTTTTCCCTTCCTTATTATTATTATTTTTTAATACAATTAAGATTCCTGCAGAATTCCTCATTATTACTGCTCCAAGCCTATTTTTCTCATTTAGTTATGTAAAACAGCACGAGAGGCCCTGGCTTATTTAGAGCCTCTAAAGGTGGAAGAAAGATTCCCTGTTAGTTTATAAATGTCCCCTACTCACTGTGGCTCAGTGAGTAGGGTGCTAGCCCCATATACTGAGGGTGGTGGGTTCAAACCTGGTCCCGGCCAAACAAAAAAATAGCTGGGTGTTGTAGTGGGCACCTGTAGTCCCTGTTACTTGGGAGGCTGAGGCAAGAGAATTGCCTAAGCCCAGGAGTTGGAAGTTGCTGTGACTTTATAGCACTCTACTGAGGGCAACAAAGTGAGACTCTGTCTCAAAAAAATAAAAGTCCCCATCAGTCTCTGTCCATCAGGGGCAAATTATTCCTCTGGGCTGATGGAGAAATGCCACAGGTATTTATGTGGACGTGGCTGTGAGAAGCCACCTCATCCACCATGCTGGGCTGACAGGAAATGTGGTTTGGGGGGGGAGGGTGGTTCCGCTCATCTGTTAAAGATCAGTCCTTGCAGAAGTACTTCCTGTCCCCTAATCCTCCACCCAGGCCAGGAAGGAGCCTCTGTCTAGTGACCACTGACCCTCAACAACCTCCCCACTCCCCAATCTCCTCGTTTGTCTCCGGGCTTTCAGCTAGAACTCAAAGGCATTTTCCTCCACTTTGTTTATTTTTTAGATGACTATTTATGACAATGGATAGTGGCTTTCTGTTTAACTTTTAAAAGGCTCTCTCTCTCTCTCTTTTTTTTTTTTATTAAGTGAGGGGTTTGGAGACAGACTCTTGCTCTGTTGCCCCGGCTGGAGTGCAGTGGCATCATCACAGACCCCTGCAGCCTGAGCTCAGGTGATCCTTCTGCCTCAGTCTTCCAAAGTGGCTGGGATTATAGGTATGAGCTGCTGCACCTGGACAAAAGGGTATCCTTAAAAAAAATAAAATAAAAAGAAAATCTTGGTCAGGTGCACTGGCTCATGCCTGTAATCCTAGCACTCTGGGAGGCCAAGACAGGTGGATCACCTGAGCTCATGAGTTCAAGACCAGCCTGAGCCAGAGCGAGGATGTATCTCTAAAAATACCCAGGTATTATGATGAGTGCTTGTCGTCCCAGCTACTTGGGAGGCTGAGGCAAAAGAATCTCTTAAGCCCAAGAGTTTGAAGTTGCTGTGAGCTGTGACGCCACAGCACTCTACCAAGGGTGGCAAAGTGAGACTCTGTCTCAAAAAAAAAAAAAAAAGAAAGAAAGAAAAAAAGAGAGAAAAAAGCTTTAAAAATGAATCAATCGAAAGAGAACCATCAGTAGTTCATGGCCCTTGGCTATGACTAAACAATCAGGAAGGGGTTCAAGGGTGATGGGAGTCTGGAAGACAGTCCTAAAGATTCTTTTTTTTGAGACAGAGCCTCAAGCTGTCCCCTGCGTAGAGTGCTGTGGCATCACAGCTCACAGCAACCTCCAACTCCTGGGCTTAAGTGTGTCTCCTGCCTCCGCCTCCCAAGCAGCTGGGATCACAGGTGCCCGCCACAACGCCTGGCTATTTTTTGGTTGCAGCCATGATTATTGTTTGGCGGGCCCAGGCTGGATTAGAACCCGTCACCTTAGATGTATGTGGCTAGCGCCTTAGCCACTTGAGCCACAGGCGCCAAGCCAGTCCTAAAGATTCTTTTAGGAGATTCTGAAGCTAGTGGGTACTGCAGGGAGCCATGTAGTGTATCTCTGATGCCTGCCCTGGCCTGGCCCCATGCCCATACTCTTGGGCAAGGCAGGTTGGACTTCAAGCTCTCTGAACCCCCATGTCCCAAAGTAGTGGCACTGGGACCAGAGGAGTTTGCTGTAGTCCCTTGGGATGGGCAGAGAGTCAAACTCATCTCTTGCCATAACCTGGGGGAAATTGCTCAGACCTGTTTGGTCAACACCAGGGCTAATGTCACCTGGGCAGGGGGAAGCAGGTGCCCAGTGCTGGCTTGGCAGGTGAGGGACAGTGATGTGATGTTGCTCACCTAAGGCAGTGTCTGCCACCAAGACTCCAAGCCCATCTGACACTCTGCCCCAACTCACTTCTTTCACTGGCCCAAGACCCAGCATGTGTGTGACCACCAGTACCCAGAGGGTGGGGAAGATAGACATACCTGGAGGCTGCTCTCTAGGCATTTCTGTCCTGATGGGCTGGATGCTGCCATCTGCCTGGGCATGAGTACCCCTGGGGAAAATGTGTGTGATGCGTGTGTGTGTGTGGGGGGGTTGTTGGAGGGACAGGACAGAGAGCCATGGTGCACCTGGGTCCGTGGATAGGTCCTTCCGCATCAGGGTTGAGGTAATTGACACAATGACCTGCATTCTGGGTTCCTGGCAGGAGGTGATGACAATGTTGGCTTCAGGGTTGGAAGAGACCTCATACTTATCCTCAGTCACCACCTGGGAGGTGTAAATACAACACGAGGCCACATCATTCCAGCCCAGTGACCTATGCATCTTCATCTTGCCAGCTCTCCCATGCTCAATGGTGTCCAGAACCTCCAAGTGACCTAGACAGCCTTCCAGGAGTGTACACATATAAAGGTAAATACAGACAACTGACCCTGTGATATAAGGAGCCTCCATATGTAAAGAATGCCCACAATACAATAACAAGAAGATCAGCAATCCACTAAAAATCTGTAAGGTAAATAACAGATAATTTGAAAGAAACACAAATAATCTTTTTTACATAATGACGCAAATTACCCTATGGCCAGAGAGAAGCAAATTAAAATTCTTTTTTTTTTTGAGACAGAGCCTCAAGCTGTCCCCCTGGGTAGAGTGCTATGGCATCACAGCTCACAGCAACCTCCAACTCCTGGGCTCAAGCGAGTCTCCTGCCTCAGCCTCCCAAGTAGCTGGGACTGCAGGTGCCTGGCTATTTTTTGGTTGCAGCCGTCATTGTTGTTTGGCGGGCCTGGGCCGGATTTGAACCTGCCAGCTCAGGTGTATGTGGCTGGCGCCTTAGCCACTTGAGCCACAGGCGCCGAGCCAGCAAATTAAAATTCTAAGGAGATGGTGCCATTGCCTATGCAGCAGCCTGGACTCCCTGCCCACTGTCAGGGCCCTACATGCTGTCTGTGTTTGTCTGAAGTGTATCCCTTTCCCCATCCTCAAGCCCCTCCCCATTCAGCGCCTCAGCACTGCAAGTTGGCTCCTGGGGCTCTATCCACATCACTGGGGCCAGGGCACTGCCAGCATTTCTTGAAGCCTTGGCTATCTTCATGAGGCTCAGGACTTGTCTTTTACCTGGGCTGTGAGAATTCCAGAAAGCAGGGCCTTCATCTGAGCCATCTTTGTATCCTCCCACCCCCGGTATTTATTGGAATCTATCATATTGTAGGTGTTCAAGAAATGTGAGGTTAAATAATTGAAGTTGGAACACCACAATCCCTGTTAAATAACTTTAGACCGCCCCAATCCCTCTGAATAACCTCCTTGCGTGACCCTCAGGCCCAGCTGGGTGTATCTCTGATACCCACCTGTTCTGACTTCGGTTCTCCAGCTTTGGCCTCTGCAGGTGCTGGTCCTTCTATGCAGAATACTGCCCCCCTCCTATCTTTCAAGTTTTACCTTACATGTTGCACTCTGTGTGAGGGCACAGCCTTCCCACCACCCTGTCCCTGCTCTGTACCTCATACACAATTTTAATTTCTTCACAGAAGACAAACTGGAAGTTATCTTACACAGTGCCTGTTTATTCTGTCCCCCTGATCAGGGTCTACCCAGCCTCTGGTTTCCAGTGCCTGCTAGACAAGTTGGATGGGTGATGCCAAAATCTCCCGGGGATGGCAGATTTGCAAATCTGGAGATGATTGCTACTCAGGAAGCTGAGGCAAGAGAATCGCCTAAGCCCAAGAGCAGGAGGTTGCTGTGAGCTGTGACGCCATGCTTTCTCCCAGGGCTACAAAATGACACTCTGTCTCTAAAAAAAAAAAAAAAAAAAAAAATCTGGGGATGATTTTTTTTTTCTGAGACAGGGTCTCATCTCACTCTGTTGTCCAGGTTAGAGTGAGGTGGTGTCATGTCATCATAGCTTACTGCAGCCTCCAACTCCTGGACTTAAGTGATCCTTTTGCCTCAGCCTCCTGACTATAGGCACACACCATTCTGCCTGGATAATTTTTTTAATTTTTAGTAGAGACAGGTTTCCCTGTGTGGCCCAGGCTGGCCTCATACTCCTGAGCTCAAGTGATCCTCCTGCTTCAGCCTCCCAGAGTGCTGGGATTATAGGTGTGAGCCACCTTGCCCTGCCTGGGTTTTTCTTTTTAAACCTAAGATGATCAATTTAACTCTCAGTGTGTTTGCTTCCTTTCTCTAGTGCAGTTGTTCATGTGAGAAAAGTATAAGGAACTGCTCTGGAGGGAGAAATTCAGCTGCCAGTCGCAGTCCTGAGTTGGGCTTTCTCCTCTCTTCACATCTTCTTAAATCCCAGCAACTTCACAGTCATGGCTGGAAACACTTTTTTTTTTTTTTTCCTTTTTGATACAGAGTCTCACTTTGTCACTGTAGAGAACCATGGCGTCACAGCTCACAGCAACCTCAAACTCTTGGGCTTAAGCCATTCTCTTGCCTCAGCCTCCCAAGTAGTTAGGACTACAGGCGCCCACCACAACGCCTGGCTATTTTTTTGTTGCAGTTGTCATTGTTGTTTAGCTGGCCTGGGCCGGGTTTGAACCTGCCGGCCTCTTTATATGTGGCTGGCGCCATAACCACTGTACTATGGGCACCAAGCCATGGCTGCAAACACTTTCTGTGCTGTTTTCATCATTGTTCTTTTTAATAACAGGCTTTGGTTCTATTGGGTGGTGGGGCATTTGGATTATTTTCAAAGTTTTAGCCTAAAGTCCCTCCCTGAATTTGCTAGCACTCTCCCTTTGCAGCTGTGTATAAAAAAGTGGTGGTTTTTTTTTTTTTTTTTTTTTTTTGTAGAGACAGAGTCTTACTTTATTGCCCTCGGTAGAGTGCTATTGCATCACACAGCTCACAGCAACCTCCAACTCCTGGGCTTAGGCGATTTCCTTGCCTTAGCCTCCTGAGTAGCTGGATACAGGCGCTGCCACAATGCCCGGCTATTTTTTTGTTGTTGTTGTAGTTTGGCTGGGGCCAGGTTTGAACCCATCAACCTCGTTATATGGGGCTGGCGCCCTGCCCACTGAGCCACAGGCACCGCGTAGTCTTGGTGGTTTTTAATAGCAATGCCTTTTGTACTGTCAAGTTATATAGAAACAAATATGTCCCCATCTGAGGTCCTGAGAGGATGCCCGGGCTTACCAGGAGCTGCTGGGGTAGGTGCTCCACAACCTTCTGTAGCAGGCAGTGTGTTGGCTTCTCGGAGCAGAGCAGGGCCAAGTGTACCTTTCTGTCCCCGCGCAGGAGGAGGCCTTTTGCCAGGATGCCAACTCGCATGACACCTTTCAGGACCCGAGCCGAGGGGACATTGCCACTATCAAGACAAAGCCACAGATATGTGCCATCAGTTGAGAGGTGCTAGGTACCCCACTGCTCTGCTCATGAACTACAGGGACCCCAGCGACTTTGCCAAACCTCTGTGTGCCTTGGCGTCCTCATCTGTAAAATGGGAGGACCCAAGTCCCTCTGTTAGAGGCATCTGCTGGGGTGAAATGAAGACTGCATGAGATATGGGTAAGATGCGCTGCCAGTCACGCCCTAGTGTTTGCAGATGAGTGAACATCTGAGTAAGATGGCAGGTCTGGACACTGGTTTCCATACTCATCTGCAAACATTAAGCCCAGGTGCACTTCTCTAGGTACAAAGACCCCACTGTTCTCAGACTTTCTTCATCAGGTTTTGCTGCTCTGTGTTTGGGCTTTAAACAGGCTCCAGGGAGAAGTGAAGAAAATGGTTCTTTGTGCCCTCAGTGTACTGGCATGAAAAAAATTCCCATATCCACCTAGATGCAAAGGTTCGAGGAGACCCTTGGGCATAAACAGAGGGTGAGCTCCTGGGTATTTCTGTGAAGACCTTTTGCAACCCACATGAGCAAGGCGCACATCTCCTTTGTGGAACAAATATGATGGCAAAAGGAAGCTCCCTATGGTAAGTGGGATCGGCCAGACACAGAAGGCCACGCAGTGTGTGAATCTACTTACCTGAAACATCCAGAAAAGGCAGATCCACAGACAGAAAGTGGATTCATGCATGCACTGAACCAAAGCGGGTTAGTGTTTCATGGGGACAGAGTTTCACTGTGGGAAGATGAGAACGTTCTGGAGATGGAGGGTGGTGATGGCTGCATAGCCATGTGAGCGTTGTAATGCTGCTGAGCTGTGCACTTAAAAATGGTTAAATTGGTAAGTTTTATATTATGTGTGTTTTACCACAATAGAAAGACGTAGATGGTGGGGCTCTGTCACAATTACTGAGAGTGCAAAGGGACTTTCTTGTTGGCCGATAATCACAGGGGCTCAGAGATTGATTCCCTGGGCTTTTGGTGCCGTGAACTCCTCTGATTACTTAATCACTGCAAGAGTAGAAGGCAGCTCTGAGTCCTATGGGACTTCCTTTCTCAGATGTGGAAACTTAGGTTTACAGAGCTGCTCAATCCCTTATGACATCAGAGCAACACCTGTCACCAACTGTAGCTCAGCCTTCCTTGGAGCCCTGAAAGCCCAAGCTCTAAGATTTGGGGAAATTCCTGCCGCTTGTGGGGGCCACAGAGTGCTCTAGGCTTATCATAAGTAAGGGCCCTGACTGGGGGCTGACCCTCTGTCCCTGAAGCCAGCAGTGCTCTGGGGAAGAAGGAGACCTCCAGTTACCTGTGCTCACTGCCTTCCTCCTCCTGGCTTCTGAGTTCCTCCTGGGCCAACACATTGGACACCAGCTTGAGGGCCCGTTCTGAGTGGGAAACAGCTTTGTGCACCGCCTGAAGCTCCTCCTCCGTGGGGTAGATGGCGGCGTGCCTGCTCATCACGTGCCGGTCGGCACTAGACTGTGGCCGCCGCCTGGGCTGTGGGGCACATGCCTGTCAAGGGCAAGCTAGTGGGAGACTATTGGGGAGTGATAGGCAGGTGTCTGTGGCCAGCCAGGTGAGCATCCAGCTCACACCAAGAGCCATGAGGTGCCCTAGTCCTCCCTGACTAGCTGTGGAAAGCCCTGAGTGATGGGCTGATGGATTCCCCCCACTATGATGATATTATTACATCTCTAGGTCAGAGGCTTTTGCTCTTCCTCACAGGAAGGTACAAATCCAACATTCCCATTCAACTCCAGGGGACAAGTACAACTGAAGGGCCAGGAGGGGCCCCAGTATTGGAATAGACAGAGGCACAAGGGAACGTGATAACCCCCACCCTCTAGCACCACTTGTGAATCCTGGAAGAGGCCAGGTCCTTCTAGTGCTGTGTGACAAGGTCACCCTGCATTTCCACACAGAGGGCTTCTGCCTACCGGAAGTGCAGTGGCAGGTGCCCCAGGCTCGCCCGTAGGGGGAGGAAGAGTATAGTCAGGTGACAACTGCTTCTGCTTATCCTCAGTCAGTGCCTCTTCCTCCAGCCGCCTGTGGGGATGAGATGGGACAGACAGCCGTGGAACCCCAAGAGGGTCACAATGGAGACACTCAGCCCCCTGTCCCCATCTAAGTGGGCAGAGCCTGCTTGCTCCCTTTGTGGCTGCTCCTTGGCATTGCATGGGAACTATGAAACTGGGAAGGGCAGGGGCCTGGCAAAGTCACACCCTGGGGGCAGAAGGGACCCAAACTGGATGGCCACAGCCCTCAGGATGTCTTGGTCTCCTTCCCCATCACAGACTTGCTACCACTGGAGCCTTTATAAATCAGACACTCCATCAGAAAAGCTTTGAGGTCAGGCACCATGGCTCCTGCCTGTAATCCTAACACTGGGAAACTGAAGCCTGGGGATTCCTCGAGGTCAAGAGTTCAAGACCAGCCTAAGCAAGAATGATACCTTGTCTCTACTAAAAATAGGAAAACTAGCCAGGCATTATGGTGGACTCCTATAGTCCCAGCTATTCAGGAGGCTGAGACAGGAAGATCTCTTGAGCCCAGGAGTTTGAGGTTGCTATGAGCAGCTGCCCCTTCCTGCAGCTGGGGAAGGGGGATAAGATGGAGCAAGACTCTATTACCACACCCTCCCTCCCAAAAATTTTGTTTTGAGATTGCTCTAAAGCGTGAAGGAGGATGACATGGTATATTGATGGTCAGGTGGCACAGTGGCTACCAGGCCACTAGCTCCTGTGAATCGGGTTGGCATGAGCTGCTCTCTAGCCTGTCTTTCACCAACACCCTTTGACTCACCAATGCCAAGATGGGCCCACTTCCCAGCTCCTGCCTAGGAGCTGACACAAGGATACCCCAACATTAGTGGAGGGTGGGGGCTGTTTGGTGTGGGGTTTGCTCTCCTTCTTGAGGGCTGGGCTGTGGGGGGAGGCCTTGGTGCAGTCAGGCATCACCTCCTTTCTTCATGCCAGCGCCGCAGCTCCTGCAGCCGTTCCCTGACCAGATGCCGCTGCTTTCGCCTCCTGCCCTCCAGGAGCTTCCGAACCCTTCGGCTGGGCCTGATGGCGATGGGGAGATCAGGATCTACTTTTTTCTAGAAAGGCAAGGGCTTGAGAATCAAGACCTCCCCACAGATGAGGATGCTGGGGTGGGTCTCAGGGCGCAGGGAGAGGCCCAGAGACCGACACCCTCCTGTTACGTTATTTACTGAATAGTTGGGTAAAACCCCCAGAGTCTAGAAAACCCTCACCCCAAAAGCAATGGTGGTGACGTGGGAAACAAAACGATGACATTCACAGTTAATATACATTAATATTATGTGAATATACACTGTTAATATACATTCACAGTTTATATACATGACAGAAGAGTTAAAAGGAGGAAGTGCATGATACTATTGGCAGATTACATAGGTGGTCATGGAAATTCAGTGACAGAGCACCTGCTGATTCTAACTAAAAACACCCATTCCCAGTCAAAACCATCCAGGGCAAACACCACTTGTGGGAAATCCAGCAATAAACACAGCGGAACCTGTCTGTAAGGTGACCACTCAAGGGATGGTAACAAACTGGTCAACATATGGAGGTGGACAACATAAGGAGATAGGCCCACTGTCCCAATACATAATGTGATGTATGTCCAGTCTATGAAAATTAGGTCAACTTGAGGAGGTGATCAGTATAGGGAAGTAGTCAGCTATAGAGGTTCTACTTTTTTTTTTTTTCTGAGACAGGCTTACTTTGTTGCTCTTTGTAGAGTGCTATGGCATTGTAGCTCATAACAACCTCAAATTCTTGGGCTCAAGCGATTCCCTTGTCTCAGTTTTTCATTTTTAGGTTGACAGGGTCTCTTGCTCAGGCTGGTCTGGAACTTGTGAGCTCAAGTGCTCCATCCACCTTGGCCTTCCAGAGTGCTAGGATTATAGGTGTGAGCCACCATGCCTAGCTGGTTCTACTGTATTTTAAAAAGCACTGCCAATTCTTTCACTATACTTCATGTGTAGTGCCTTAAGTGCAAAATTCAGCATTGCCAAATGTCATCAAGAAATATTGATTGGTGGAACAGCCCAAGTATCCATCAACAGATGAATGGATGAACACAATGTGGTCCATTGACACAGGGGAATATCACTCAGCCATGAAAAGGAAGGAAGCTCTGACACAGGCCACATGTGGATGGACCTTGAGGACATGGTGCTCACTTACCCAGTAACCCATCCATTCACCCATCCCCTAGTTCCTGAGTCCCCCTCTATGTAGGCACTAGGCCAGGAGCTGACCCAGAACATAAACTATGAATTGAGCCCAAGGGGGAACATGCCCTCATCTCTTAGGAAGTGTGGGAAGAGCAGAGTGAGCATCCAAAGCTCAGAGAGCAAGGAGAGCTCAGGGAGCCGGCCCTGCAATCTGGCTCAGACTGCTGCTGGGCAACACTGCAGGGAAGGCTCCCTAGGCAAGAGGAAACTGAGGTGAGGCATGAAAGTGTACAGAGCTTCTGACTCACAGCAGGGGCCAGGGGGTCACCCCTCACCTCTCAAGCCCAATGAGGGGTGCCTGGGAGGAGGCAGGATACTTAGTAGAGTAGGGGTCCTGGAGGTGGCTACAGAGCCTAGGGGACCCAGTGACAAGGGTGCCCCTCCAAGCAGCAGCAATTCAGGACAGAGCTCAGGAGGGGCACAGGGACCTGAAGAGACCACCTGGGACTCAGTTCTGAGAAAGCAAAAGGCCACTTTTGAGACATGAACCAAGATGTAAAAGCCTGAAAACTCCACCCACCCAAGCCCAGCCCAGTTTCCACATCAATCGCCAGGTGTGGAAAACACTCAGACCACAAAGGTCCCATATGAGCCCAGGACAGGTCTCAGCACCCCTGCTGGACACACCTTGTACTGCAGCCGGTGCCGCCTCCCCTCCAAGTGCATGTCCCTGGCCTTGGAGTCGTTGAAGCTGCACTCACACAGCTTGCAGTGGAACCGGATCACCTTCCCTTGGTCGTTGCATACCTGAGACACAAATCACAGCTGAGCACCTGCTAGGTGCAAGGCCTTGGAGAGTGTGGGATATGACTGATACCCTGGCCACTGAGCTGAACCCTGTGTCTGTCTTTTTTGAGTCTGCTGAGTGGTTTTGAGCAAGGCCAAGCTTCCCTCTGCCCTGTTCCCTTCTTCCTCTTGCAGTGTAGCCAAACCCACCCTGGGTGCAGTATCCCCCACCCTGTTTCATTGACTTCCAGGTGTCTTATCTATTTCCTTAACAAAGTGACAGGGTCTCCAATGGCATGATCCTAACAGCTGGAGTTATTTTGCACTGGACAAGAATGCTGAATTGGTTGACTCAGAACAGGAATATGAGGACAGAAACTTTCAGCCACATATAGGTGACTGGGGTGCTCAGAGGGGCACTTAGGAACTCGCTGCAGAGAAGCTTTGGAATTGACACAAACCTTGCAGGGCCACAAGCTCCAACTCAGATGTCTGTGAGAAGCCTGTCCCAGCCTATGGCTGGGATTCAGAATCCCACATCATTGGGTGCACGCACAGGGCTGACCAGGCTCTGAAAGGCCACAGGGTTGGCCCAGAGATCTGGACAGGGCTGGGTTCTACTGCTCACCAGCCTGGTCTTGGCTGGTCCCCAAATCCCTCAGGCCCCATAAAGGGACCAGAGAGAGGGGCCTCCAGTCCCTCCCTGAGCATTTTATGGCTCCGATCCTCTTCTACCTTCCAAATGGACAGTTCCACAGGACACCACATGAGGAGATGCCTCTGACTATCTCAGGCCTTTGCTAGCCCCTGAGCCTCTGCACGTGGCTTGGGCTCTGGGGCGGGGGCGGTTACCTGTGCAGCTAAGAGACAGGGATGGCTTTGCGAATCTCAGCAGGGAGAACCAGGAGAGGTCTCAAAGGCTGCCTCCTACGAGGGTCCTTCTTAAGCTGAGCCCACACAAACTGGCAGCACCAGGGTTCAATGGCCAAGATGGCCTGGACTTACCTCCTCTACGTAGTCAGGCCCCACCAGCTGCACATCACAGCAGGCTCTGGAAGCATGTCCCATGCCTTCTTGGGGGGATATTCCTCTGGGCCCCTCTGATTTAGGTCGGGCTGGCTTTCCCTCCTGGGGTCTACTGCCTGCTGCCTGTGGCTCTAGGGGGCCTGAGGGGAACAACAATGTCACTAACAACCTAATTGAGCCAGAAACCACACCATCTGCAACCCTGCAGGTATGCAGGGCAGAGATTCACACAGAGGGGGCTTCCTCCTTAGGAGTCCAGTGGGAACTGCCCCCTGCAGTGGCCCTTCCTGCCAGCTTATGTCACAACTGAGAAAGCAGATAGGCTGATATGAATTCACAGGGCTGATGGGGACACCCTGTCTTTCAGTCCTTGTTTGAGGAATTCACCAATGGCACAAAAGCTAGGCCCTTCAGCTGATCAATAACAAGGCATCAGGCACTCCAAGGGTTGCACTTAGCCTGGCCCCACAGGGCACTGATGGATTGAAGGACAGATGAATTTTCTTTGTTATCAAAACTACTTGATGATTAGATCTACAAAATCACGTTATTTATATTTATTTTTTGGAGACAGAGTTTCACTATATTATCCTCGGTAGAGTGCTGTGGCGTCCCAGCTCACGGCAACCTCAAACTCTTAGGCTCAAGTGATTCTCTTGTCTCAGCCCCCCAAGTAGCTGAGACTACAGGCGCCCACCACAATGCTTGGCTATTTTTTGTTGCAGTTGTCATTATTGGTTAGCTTGTCTGGGCTGGGATTGAACCCCCCAACTTTGGTGTATGTGGCTAGCACTGTAACCCACTGTGCTACAGGTGCTGAGCCAAAATTATATTATTCTAGAAGCAGGGATACTAAAGCTAAAAATAAAATGAGGCCTCCATGCATAGTATGGTGGTCCAGGGCAGACTTTCAGGCAGAGCTGGGTTCAAATTCTGCCTCCAACTGATGGTGTGGCCTGGGGCCAGGTCCTGTATACCACCACACCTTGGCCTTTCCATCTGCATGTTGGGACTAGTGACTCTTTGATTTTAAAGAGCTGGTGTGGAGGGGATGTCAGGCAATGAACACAGAGCAGTTAGCAGATGCCTAATGTTTCATTCTAGTTACCACTGGCTCACTGGAGCCAGCTCTCACCCCGTCATGGGCAGAGCTAAGACTCTGCACACAGCAGGCAGGGAGGGCAGGGTCACAGGGGACAAATGCAAGCAGTCTGTTTTTATTTCCTGGTATCTACGTAACTCTGCATCAGAGCTCAGTTCTTTCCCCGTGTGCACAAGGGCATGAAGGGAATTGTTTCCTGGAAGCTCAGGGACTTCTCCAGGCCCAGGACAGGGGCTTCCAGAGAATGGCCAGCAGCCTAGCACCAGCCCACACTCCACAGAATAAAGAGTATCACCATTTCACTGGTTTTGCCTATACGTCCTGGATGTGGTCTCAACGGCACTAGAATTGGAGCAGAGAGAACCTGTCCTGCCTGGTGGAACCATGGGAAACATAGTGCCAGGCTCCTGGGGTCTGCTGTCACCGTCCACCCCTGAGACAAAAACACACTCTGGGGGCAGTCAGGGCCTGGCCAGCACACAGACTTGCCCACAGACACACTGAGATGGCAGGGGTACATACCCTCACACAAAGCCTTTGAGGCCACCGGTCTCCTTGCCAGCGCTGGCTGGGCCAGAAAGTGCACACAGGGGCCGGCAGGGTCCTTAGGCTCAGGGGTGTGGTCTGAGGCCAGGGGCCCTGGCTCAAGGGTTGGAATGGGTTTCCCCAGCTTGGTGTGCAGCTTGATGACCTAGAACAGACCCAGGCCCTCTGTCAGGGACACCCTTAGCCTGATGGACCACTGAAAGAGACAAGAAGGGTGTCACAGGCACTTCCTGGTTAAAGGCACTTAGGAGGAAGGCTGTAGCTGGACAGGGCTACTCTGTGGCCTCCACTTGCTAACAGCCACCTTGGATACACTGACCAGCTCTAGGTGTGACACTTTCTCACAGCTCAGACCCACCCCACATCCCCATTCAGCTACAGGGTCCTCTTGACCTCCAGACCCAGCCCTAGCCTGGTAGGAGAAAAGCCTATAGGCTGGTCCCACTGGCCACCAGCTCCTAACCACCTCCATTTCCTCCTCTGTGCCTGTTGGTTTATCCCTCTGTGGTTCACATGGGTGTCAGTGGGAGAATGAGGAATCCCCCATCCTCTCACACAGACATCCCACCCCCAAGGTGCCACATGGAGGCTCCATCCATTCCACATAAGAGGACATAACACAGGCATTTTTTTTTTTTTTTTTTTTTTTGAAACAAGGTCTCACTCTGCTATTCTGCTGTCCAGGCTAGAGTGCTGTGGCATCAGCCCAGCTCACAGCAACCTTGCACTATTGTGCTCAAGTGATCCTCCTGTGTCAGCCTCCATATAGCTAGGACTACAGGCACCCATCACACTTGGCTAATTTTTCTATATTTAGTAGAGTAGAAGGTCTGACTCTTGCTCAAGCTAATCTCAAATTCAAAGGATCCTCCCGCCTCGGCCTCCCAAAGTGCTGGGACTACAGGTGTCAGCCACCACACCAAGCCACAATACAGGCATCTTTAAGGCCTCAAGAAAACAGTGAGATTAAAGCAGGAAGCAGGAAGAGCAAGGTCCTGAATGGAATGTACAGTTGGATCACATCATAGGATATACTGTCTATGGCCACATTCTAACACCATGCTTTCTTACGGGTCTGGGTGTGAGTCCCCAGAACATCTTTCCACTTTTGCATGGTGACCGGGGACTCCTCTGATAGCTAGAAAAGGAGTGTGGCTCCTTGGGGATGAAGACACATGGGCCAGGGGCAGGAGAAGCTCCTCCAGGCTCCCCTCTGACCTTGCTCTCTGGGTCTCAAATCCTGACCACGGGCTCATGGTCAGAGCGTGGGCCTAGGTGAGGGACTTGTACCTTCTGGTGCCTGGCACCCTGGATGTGGGCTGCATAGGTGTCTGGCCCTGTGCAGGACACAGCACACAGGCCACAATGCAGATGTCCCTGAATCCCACGTGGGCTGCTGTCAGGCTGCACACCTGTCTTCTGAGCTGCCTTCTTTTTGTGCCTCTGGCCTTCCAGATGCTCACGGTAGGTCTGTAGCAGGGAGGGAGAGGTGGACTGAGGGGCATCTGCCCAGAAGACACTGCCCCTCCCCTGAAGGCCACCTGCAGGCTTAGCATATGGGAGCACAGTGGGTGACAGAGGCCCTGTCCCCATCCTGCTACCCCCTGGCACCTGGGAGGCTCAAGGGTTTCTTCATTAAATTCAGTTGACAGACTCAGAAACTTAGATCAGAAGGTACAAGGTTTCTACCCTTTTCTAAAAAGAGTTTCTTTTCTTTTCTTTTCTTTTCTTTTTTTTTTTTTTTGAGACAGTCTCACTTTATCCCCCTCAGTAGAGTGCTATGGCGTCACAGCTCACAGCAACCTCCACCTCTTGGGCTTAGGCAATTCTCTTGCCTCAGCCTCCCAAGTAGCTGGGACAATAGGAGCCCACCACAACGCCTGGCTATTTTTTTTTTTTTTGCAGTTTGGCCAAGGCTGGGTTCAAACCCGCCACCCTCGGTATATGGGACCGGTGCCCTACCCACTGAGCCACAGGCGCAGCCTTGAAAAGAATTTCTTAAGAGTGCATCCTCAAAGTGATCACACATTCAGTTTGTAGGGTTCGGCTATAAACAGATAAGCCCAGCTTTTCAAAGGGTGACCTCAGAAACTGAGGAAGGGCGCATGCTGCCTGGATGACGCAGCATCCATTTCATTTTTAGAAAACTGGCTAATAGACCGAGGGGCTCCATGTGTGGGGGACTCACTTGAGGGAAGTTCTGTGTGAATGAGTCACAGGCCTCCACATCCGGGAGTGCCAGGCTTAGAATATCTAATGGCATCTGGGGAATGATCGGCACTGCCTGGCATGGAATCCTGGGCTTGGTTCTTGGAATCCTGAAACCAGGCAAGCCACAGCCAGGGCATTTCATGGGAGCCATGAAACCAATGCGTTTTAGCCATGCTGAAAATGAACATTCTGCAGAGTAAAAGTGGCCCTGAAAACACGTAAGAAACTGGAACATTGATTTGTTCCAGAAAGGAAAAATAGAAGTGAGCAGAGGGCGGAGGCAGACATTTTACTATGTTCTCTCCGGAATTTAGGAATCTTGAACCTTGTAATCATAGCACCTGAACAACTGAATAAATATGCACACAAGCACACACACAAACTAGGAAAAAGAGTCTATCCATGGAATAGAGAAGAGTCTAGAAGAATATACACCAAGCTGCTCTTAGTCATTATTTTAGGGTGCTTTTGGCGTACACTGCAATGGCAAACTCTGAGCTTCAACACACATTGGCTGGATTTCTATCCTCATCGCTCATACTAACTCTGAGTTCCTCGAAGTACTGTCCCTCTCTGAGCCTCAGGCATTTCACCTGCCACATGGGGCAGATATAAGGATTAAATAAACAATGTAATAGATTAAACAGCCCACCTAATGTGCTGGATGGAACTCTAAGCACAGGTTAAGAGCACATGTTTGCTATTTTGAACAAACATCTGTATTGTCAGAGTAGCTACCATGAACACAGTCTATGTGTGTTTTGAGAACAAAGAGGGCATTCTAGAAAAAGGCACATGGTGGGTGCTGCTGGCTCCAAGGGACTCCGACTAAAGCCCAAGGCCCTGTTCCTGGCCCCATGGGCTAGCCTGGGGGGCTGCAGGTCTCTCCTCTTGGAGACCTCATAGAAACTGTACTATCTTGGACTTAGAAAGGCCGCTTAGAGGGACACATAGAGGAAGTACAAAAGTATCACCACCCCAGCTCCTGGGAATTTCGTACCAACCCAAGTCCATTATGAGTAGCAGATGAAGACCATATGGGACAGTTTACATGTTGATGGTGCTTGGAACCCTACCTACTGGGCTAAGGAGTCTTGCTCTTACTCAGGCTGGTCTAGAACTCCTGGCCTCAAGTGATCCTCCTGCGTCAGCCTCCCAAAGTACTAGGATTAAAGGCAAGAGCCCCTATACCTGGGCTGCATTATTTCTTATAACTGCATGTGTGTCTACAATTATCTTCAAAAAAATTTCAACTTAAAAAGTGCAATGATTATTAGCCGGGAAGAACAAGAGCTAGCATCTCTGGAGCATGTCACCTGTGCACTAGGCACTGTGCTAAGGGCTGGCTTGTTTGGGTACTATGACTTTCTCAGGAGGCAGGTCATAGTATTATACCCTTTCCCACCAGGAGGCTCAGAGAGGCCATGCTGCTTGCTCTGGTCTAATGAGGGGTGGGCTTGGCCAAGTCCGGAACCCATGCTTGGAATTCACACATGTTACATGCCCTGCACATCTGCCCAGGGAGACATCAAGCACTTCTGCCAAATGCTGCTGGGAGGAGTCCAGGAAGCATGTGGGGAGATGCTTGTGTTTGATGTAAGGAACCCAGAAGACATGAATTTTCATATTCAGCAAGATCCTCATGATGCAAAATAAAAATCACACATAGAAATAAAGATGAGAATAAGCAAAGCTCACCCTTTGCTAACGAGCATTCATTTCACAATAGAAGAAAGCATGTTTTCCACACACTCTTCTACCTGAGGACTCTTCAAAGGAAGCCATGTCTCTCCTAGCATGAGGGGAAGAGCCACGACCAGGAAAGGGTAATGGGGTGGGGAGGGGTCCCAGCCTGGCCCTGAGCTGATAGGGTTTTCTGGAGGCTTCTCACACAGACTCAGTGACTCTCCATGGCCCAGAGCTTTCTTTCAGAATATTAAAAACAAAAAAAATGAGGATGTTGTTTTGCCAAGACAGAGCTCTAGGGTCTAATTATCTTTCCAGGAAATGAGCCCTCAACTTCAGCTGGGTTATTTTTGAGCTTTACAACCTCAAGCTTATGTGTCTGATGAGAAGAGACTTCACTTGTGTGTCCCAAATGCCACCCTGCAAACACACACATGCACACATGCATGCATATATACATGCATATGCACACACTCATGCCCCCACATGCACACACACACTTTAGGCTTTAGCAGAATACCCAGCTCCTTATGTCTGCCCATGGCCCTGCTTAGATGGCCCCTCAGTAAAGGGATGCCATTGCCAGCCACCACAGTATTCAAGACTAGGCCACCGAGGTCCCTGGCAATGTCAGGCCTAACTCCCGTTTCTTCCACTGGAATGCCACAGGGCCTGTTTAAGGCAATTCTGACACATACTCTATGGTGCAAGTTCAATGATAAGCCTTGATTTGGCAGGCAGTGACTCTGACATTTGGCATTCTGAACTCTGTCCTACTGAGGGAGGAGGGTAACTGACCTGGGGACCCGCACAGCTGATCTTGCAGACGTCACAGTAATGAAGCTGGGGCTCCTTGGGTATCCCCTTGTGCTTTGGTAGCTTCTTGGGTAACAGTGGCTTCCAACCAGGCCTGGGGCTTCTCCCAGAGCCTGGGGGTATGGGCAGCAGTGGAGGCTGCCTGGGTGGTGGCTGCTGTGGGGGCCCTGGGAGAGGTGGGGGCTGAGTCTGGGGGGACAATGGTGGAGGACAGTGAGGGTGGGCTGCAGGGTAAACCAGCATGTCACAGCTTGGGTAGTTTGTACCTAAGGAGCAGAGAGAAAAATGAGAGAGAGAGCAAGAGAAGATGAGGGTGACCACGCAGGAGCAGAAAGACAGATGGGAAAACACTTGTCTTACCAGTATGCAGGTCGTTGGTAGGACCATAGGAGGCCTCAGGGTAGGAGGTCATGGTGGATGTCTTGGACTGGACACCTGTCACCATAGAGTAGACACAGCCTGATATCGAGGTGCCCTCTGGCTGCCTGACCTTGGCTGGGAGCACTTCTGGGGGCTGAGCATAGCTGTGGCCACCCGTGAGGCTAGGCTGCCTGTAGCTGTCTTTAATCTCTAGAGGACAGGCACAGGTTCCTGGAAGGTCTGTGGTCGTGTTCTGGGGTTGGCAGGCAGCAGACTGGAAGCACTGTCTGTCTTTGTAGCTGCTGGTGGCCACTGACCATCTGTAGCTATAACTGTCCTGCATGAGGGTCGCACAAGAGAAACACAGAGAGTAGGGGAAAGCTGCTCAGGGCCAAAGGAGAAACCACACTTGTTCATCAGGGCCCCGGAGAAGGAGGAGGACGGTATCCTGGTATATATGTAGCTACATGCCAAGGCCACTGCCCCAACCAGGGGGGAGCCCCTAACCTATGAGACTTTCCTCCTCCTTCAGAGTCATCCCTCAGGCTGGGTAACAGACAGGGGACAAAGCTCTGTGCATGATGGTCCCCCAAAGCCCCCCGGAGCTGCCCTCTGGTGGTATAAATGTGGCAGGTTCCCCTTTCTCTCTTGAGCTGGAATTTCTCTCCCTCTCTTGAGGGAGTGACTCTGGTTTCATTCTTCCCTGTCTAGTACATAGTACCAGCAGAAAATGTCAGAGGGAAGACCACTATGAAGACTCCCGAGAGATGGGGTTCAGGTGGGGAACTCACTATTCCCACCCACACAACAATGCTCTGATGTTTTCCAGTAAGGCTGGCCAAAGAAGAGACAGGATACCTGGTAGGTGGCTGTGGTGGTGGGTACAGGACTGGGCTCCCAAGGCTGGCTGCTATCAGTGAAGTCCTGGCTGAAGTGTTGCTGGTATCCACTGTGCCCTGCCAGGATGGCTGGGGGAGAGGCTTGGCCCACAGCAGGGCCTGTTCCAGAAGAGGGCTGGGGAGGGGCCATCAGAGGCTGAGCACTAGAATCACACATAGGAGCCCAACTGGATCAGATCAGGTTCTGAGGCACACTTGGGTCAACCACAGAAATTCCAGCCAACATGGGACTGGAGCGGCATGGCTTCCCTTCATACAGCACTTTCTGTGACCCCTGAACATAGTGGAGACCTTCCCATGAGCCTAGGTATGGTTTTAAGCACTTTTCACAGATTAACCCAGTCTCACGACATTGCCATGAGGTTGGGACTGTCCTTGTACTCGATCTACAGATAAGAAAACTGAGGCACGGAAGTGCAAAGTTGGGACCTGAACCCATTCCACCACTTCTCAGATAACCTACTCGTGCAGTGGGTCTTTGTCTTAACATCAAGATTCTCCAAAAAAAGTTGAACTTTAACAATAGGGTCATCCCTTGGTGTTACTGGGGGATGCAACCCAGGACCCCCAGAGGATAGCAAATCCACAATGCTCAAGTCTGGTATAAAATGGTGTAGTGTTTGCACATAAGCTTTGCATGTCCTCCCAGGTACTGTAAATTACCTTTAGATTACTTACAATGACCAATACATTGTGAGATCTATGGAAATGCAGCAGAACCTCTGTAAGCTGACCACCCAGGGAACAGTAGCAAACTGGTCAGCATTGGTAATGTTAGGAACTAGGCCTGCTGTACTAATATGTACATGTGGTACCTGGTCAATGAAAATTAGGTCAAATGAGGAGGTGGTCAGTGCAGGTCAGCTATGGAGGGTCTACTGTAGTTATCATATTGTATCATTTAAGGAACAATGACAAGAATAAAAGCCTGTGCACTTCAGTGTAATTTTTTTTCAAATATTTTCAATCCTTGGTTGGTTGAATCCATGGATGTAGATCCCACAATACAGAGGGATGACTGTGTTTTTAAAAAAATGTATATATATATATATATATATGTACTTTTTTATGAGACAGAGCCTTTATTGCCCAGGCTGGAATACAGTTACATCATCATAACTCACTGCAGTCTCAAACACCTGAACTGAAGCAATTCTCCTGCCTTCGCCTCTGGAGTAGATGGGGCTATAGGTGCATGCCATTGCAAGACTATGCCCAGCTAATTTTTATTTTATTTTATTTTTATTTATTTATTTATATTTAAGAGACAGAGTCTCACTTTGTCACCCTTGGTAGAGTGCTGTGGCATCACAACTCACAGCAACCTCCAGCTCTTAGGCTTAGGTAATTCTCTTGCCTCAGCCTCCTGAGTAGCTAGGACTATAGGCACCTGCTGCAACACCTGGCTATTTTCTTGTTGCAGTTTGGCTGGGGCCAGGTTTGAACCCGCCACCCTTGGTATATGGGGCCAGTGCCCTGCTCACTGAGCCACAGGCACCACCTAATTTTTTTTTTTTTTTAAGACCGTCTCCCTCTGTCACCCTGGGTAGAGTGCTATGGTGTCATAGATCACAATAACCTCAATCTCCTGGCTTTGAGCAGTCCTCTTGCCTCAGCCTCCTGAGTAACTGGGACTATAAGCACCCGTCATAATGCCTGACTAGTTTTTCTATTTTTAATGGAAACAGGGTCTCATTCTAAGGCTAGTCTTAAACTCCTGAGCTCAAGAAATCCACCTGCCTCAGCCTTCCAGAGTGCTGGAATTACAGCCATGAGCCATCACACCTGGCCTAATTTTTAAATTTTTAGTAGAGACAGAGTCTCCCTATGTTGCCCAGGCTGGTCTCAAACTCCAGGCCTCAAGCAATCCTTAGACCTTGGCCTCCCAAAGTGCTGGGATTATAGGCATGAACCACCTTGCACAGCTGACTTTTTTATAACAAAATATCTGACATGTAGAACATAATAAATGCATGCTACTGAGAAGTGATACATGCCAATGTTTTGCTATATGTATCTGTGTCAAAGCTTATTTTTTAAATAAATAGAGAGAATTGAAGCTCCACTTAAGTCCTATTCCCCTTCCTTCCTCCCTAGGGTTGGCAGTCCCCTGCCCGATCATGATTTTTACGCTTTTCCTCCCTATCCACCAGTCTTCCTATGACACAGGTGTTGTTGTTTTTCAATGTTATGTGTGTGCAAAGCTGCATCCTTATTATGCATCTTATGCTACAACTTACTTCTCCCAAACCTTGTCTGGAACATGCTCATATCTGTACAAGTACACATGGTTCATTTATTTTAACCCAGGGGTCCTCAAACTTTTTAAACAGGGGGCCAGTTCACTGTCCCTCAGACTGTTGGAGGGCCAGACTGCAGGCCCCGGGACGAGTTGGCTGCTAAGCAGGACAGGCAGCAGTGGCAAAAACACCTGGTAGGCCAGATAAATGTCCTAGGCGGTCCGCATGTGGCCTGCGGGCCGTAGTTTGAGGACGCCTGTTTTAACCCATATGGTTATTCCCTGTGCAGCCATCCTACCTGGGCAAAAAGTCCCCTCACTGGGCACTGAATTTAAGAGCTACATCATCTGATATGGAGCCACCAGCTATAACTGGTATACAATACAATGTGGATGGAACTTGAGGACATGATGGCTAGTGAAAGAAGCCAGACTCAAAAGGACTAATCCTGTGTGATTCCACTTGAAGGAAGTCCCTAGAGTTGTCAGGTTCACAGAGACAGAGTAGAATGGTAGGTGTCAGGGGACAGTTTTATCAGTGTTTTACATTAAAATTGCATTTTTGATAAAAATACACTTAATTTTTGCACACTCTGATTTTAACAGCATCTCATGGTTGAATCCTTGTACCCTCAGGCATCCATGTGGGGAAGGAATTTGTTTCCCTGGGAGGCTCTGGAATAGAGGGTAAGGCTTGTGGCCTCAGTCTCTCACATCCTCTTTGGTGCTCTGCAGTGCCCCAGCTGCCATGACAAAGTACCACCCACTGGGCAGCTTAAGCAGCAGAGATTTGTGGTCTCAAAGTTCTGGAATCTAGAAGTCAGAAATCAATGTGTGGGCAGGGTTCATGCAGACAGCCACCTTATTCCTGTGTCTTCTCATAGTCGTCCCTCTGTGCATATCTGTGTCCTAATCTCTCCCTCTAAGGGGATCCTAGTCGTATTGGATTAGAGAAAACTCTAATAATCTCATTTCAATCTAATTCACTCTTTAAAGTCTCCATGTCCCAAGGGTCAGCGCCTGGAGCTCAGCAGCTAGGGGTCAGCCACATACATGGGAGCTGGTGAGTTCGAATCCAGCCTGGGTCTGCTAAAACAACAATGACAACAACAACAACAACAACAAAAAAAAAAAAAA